CCTCACCGTGTCAATGCACTTTTCCATAGCTTGTATAGCATCAGCTTGAGCAGTTAATTTCTCCTTACAATATCTCCTCTGAATCACACATTAAGGTCATGAGAATACAAGAAATGAACACCAACTAGACAAGCTCTTGATTGTTAAACAAGTTCTTTTTCTCAGCATCTCAGGAAATGTTTAGAGAACAGTATGGAGAATATGTATACTGATGTTAGGGTGTTAAGGAAGAAGGTCTTGATTGTTACAGAAATTCTCCTTGTCAGCACCTTAGGAAATGCATAGAGAACAGTATGGAGAATATGCATACTGATATTAGAATGTAAAGGGTTAAGCTTTTAGGAAATAAACTGGGATAAAAATATAATTATGAAGATTCTCTGAAAAAGCTGAGTACCCTATGTTGGGCGTGAATGTAAACTGTAAGGTTGAGAAAATAAAGTTTGTTACATTGCTGTTTCTACTGGAGTGTAGCTTATTCTAAATTTATTGTGATGTTTCTCTATTTTTTCTTCTTTTCAGGCCGGTTTGGAAATCAAGCTGACCAGTTTTTAGGATCATTAGCATTTGCAAAAGGATTAAATCGCACCCTTGTGTTACCTCCATGGATAGTTTATCCAAGTTATAAAAGAGGTGACTCTGTGAGTTTAATTCTTTATTTACTTGGCTAGTTAAATTACAAGTATTCAATCTCCTAACTCCTTGTAAAATGAAAAATTTATGAATTTCTCTCTCTTGTCAGTTCCATTAAGAACCCCTGACAACTGAGTAATCTTAAGGGCAAGTGAAAAGCAATGAGTGAAGATAATTTTTTCAAAGTTTTGGGAAGAAAATGTGGAGTGCTGGTTCTTGAAAAATCACAATAACATGGTTGAGTGCTTGAGATTTTCTTGATGTGTGGGCATCCTCCAAAAATTTACCAAAGCAAAAAAAATTGAACTGTCAAATGAGTTATGAGGGGTTTCTTGAAGATGAATGATGTGTTTTGCAGATACATTCAAAGTAACATATCTTTGATCCTTTTCTTCAAAATGAATTAAGGATTGAATCAATAAAGCACAAGAAATAGTTCTCCTGTTTACCCTTTACATCACTTTATTCAAATAGTACTCCCTGCCCCTTTCCCCACAGGATCGAGTACCATTTGATGACTGGTTTCTTGTTAAGCCACTTGAAGCATACCACAGTGTTATAACAATGGAAAAATTCATGAAAGACATTGCTCCAACAATTTGGCCACCTGGAAAAAGAATAGGTTGGTATTTGATTGTAGATGAGTTTTTTTTTTAAACATTTATTGCAAATCGCGAGGAATATATATTTACAGGGTTCTAAGCTCCAAATTTTTCAAAGGTCAACTATTAACCCCTTAACTCTCCCTTCTAGCTGTAACACATAAAATTTCCTTTTAGATTAGTTAGGTGAACTTGGTGTTAGATTAAGGTAGCAACTTCTACCTGATAAATTCAAGTACTTGCTGGATAATATATGGATATCTTAGGGAGAAGTAAGATGTTAATCACCTCTTGGAGTTGGAGGGTTTCAGAGGGTTAAGTGCCCCATAAAGACATTTTATGTAGCAGCACTTGTTTTGTGCTGTGTAAAAAGCAAACAGTGTTTTTGTAATGAGAAAATTGATGGTGATGATTCTGTCTCAGGCTTCTGCTACTCATTCCGAGATGGTCAGAAGTGTGAGATGAAGCAGGGAAATCCCTTTGGACCTTTCTGGAATCACTTTTATATTGACTTTGATGATTATCAGGAACATTCTGGCTTGTTGTGGGACACAGAACAAGAATGGGCTAGAGTTGGATGGAACACAAGGTACATGTATCTCACCAAAATGTGTCATTGTACTTTGAAACTTAGTTCATTTCCTTTCTTTTTTTTTCTGTTTTTAGCAAATACCACTATGATAATTATTAAGCTACATTTTGGAAAATTTCCAAAACAATTACCAAAAAAATAGGACAAAATATATTGCAAAAACTTTTTTTACTAATTGTAACCTGGTAAAGGATACAGTTTAAATCAATACAAATATTTATCCAATATCCTTCACAGTCAGGTGCATAAGAAAGTCAAATGGTTTTAACTACTTTAAGGGTTTAAATTTAATTTCATGGAGTGGTCTTGTTGACAAGAAAATATGCAAGCTATGAGAAATTGAAGTAAAAACAGGCAAACTACCAAAAATGTGGGAAAATGCTGGTGACTGAGTCATGATTCCTCTTAGTGTTGAGTCTGATTAGTTGAGAGGATGGCAAAAGTTTTCTAGACAATGGTAGAACATGGTAAAGCAGACTGATTCTGGAACACTTTCTATACTTAATTAAAAATTGCTTCTTGAGTCATGAAAGGGTCATGATCGTTATTTGGGGGAAGCGTGAAGCAGGGTGTGCCCATTACTCTCCTTTCCAACTGTCCTGTCCAATTAGAAATTCTCCTTTCTACCCGTTAGTTTATTTTTGATTCATTTTTTCTATCGTTTTTCAGATTTCCAGAGTCAGAGTTTCCAGTGCTAGCTCTGATGGGAGCACCAGGAGCTTTCCCTGTACATTCACAAAACAGATGGTTACAAAAGTTTGTCCAGTGGTCGACTAAAGTTGAAAATACAGCCAAGGAGTTTATTTCTACTGTACTGAATAATGAACCTTTTGTTGGTATTCATTTACGAAATGGAATTGACTTTGTGAGTGAGACCAGACAGTAACGGTCCAGTTTAAAAATAAGACTACTTTATGCTATTTACGGGCCTTTTAGAGGAATTTTGTCAGTGTTCTATTGCATCAACGTTATTATCTATGAAACTACGCACCAACCCTTCCCCTAACAAAACAACAGTCAACTGATAACGAGTTAGGGTTATTGTTAAGTTAGGGGAGGGTAAGTGCACTGTTTCCCAGATAATGACATCAATCCACACTATTTGTAGGCAGTCAAAGGAATTGTACGAGCCTGCAGAGCAAGTAAAATGTCAATTCCGATATCTTTCCATTTATATTATTTATGGAATAGGAATTAATTAACTGTCTAGGTGCGGGGCTTATCTTTCAAACTGAAGCGCTAAAAAGATTATTTCGTACACTGTCATCATTTCCCGTATTACTTCTCTACAATGTACCACAATGTACGAACCCAATGAAGCTTTGAAACATTTTACACTTATGATAGTGGACCGTTACCAAAACTTTATCGTGCGAATCTTCTCTTTACTCAATGGAACTCGTTCCTTGTTAGATTATTGTGACCCATTCAGTTATACTCTGTTAGCGACAAGTGATCCCACTTCCGTCCCCCCTGGAAATCATGTAACCCTTCTCAAAATCCTCCGCTCCCTTTTTTTTTTTCCTCCCTCCCCACCCCACCCTGGCTATAAGTAATGAATGATCCCCTAGTTTCCGTTTTCTACCTTAGTAACCACCATTATATTTTTGGTTCGTCTAAAATAGTTCTTAAATGTAATAAAATCATCTTTATGTTCAGGAAAGAGCTTGCGAACATGTTAAGGATGGAAGTACCTCCTCCTTCTTTGCGTCGCCTCAGTGTGTTCAACCTGGCTCCAAAGACAAGCTCACGCATCAAATGTGCCTACCACTGAAGAGTGAAATCCTCAAAAAGACCAAAAAGGTGGTGAAGAAAGCTAAGGCAACAAGAGTGTTTGTGGCAACGGATAATGATCCAATGATTAGAGAGCTCACAGAAGCATTGAAGTCTTTAAAGGTAACAACTTGAACATTCTCGACAAAGTCGGGACGAAATATATTGAATCAATGACAGATGAAGTGGCTTAGCAGAGAAGAAGGCTTCCTTTTTAGTTTGCAAT